CTCAAAAATCTAAAATCAAACATATTATATTTGCATCAAATATTAAATAAACATAATTTTTTTCTGCGTGTATAATGTGATTCCATTTTAAATGGGTTACAGATACTTAGATTGATAAAAAATTCTAAAAAATCATCATTATATATTCTTATTACTTGATAATAATCGGTTATCCCAGGTATTTCGAATACTATAATACGTCGTTTTCCACCAAAATTTTCTATAGCTTCATGCATTGTAAGTCTATTTTTTGCTAAAAGTATTTGTTGTTTAAACATATTCAATATTCTCAGCTGAATGTTGTGTATTTGTAATAGATGATTCAGAAGTAGTATCTTTCGTCTACATTATTTAAATATTGTTGTGATAACGCATCTGCGACTACGTTAAGTGTTCCTGGTTTATATATTATTTTAGGTGAATATTCTTCAATTAAAGCCCGCCAACGTTTCATTTTAGATTTTGGATGTTTATTTGACATTGCAAATGTTAAAGGTTAATGGTCTGTTTAAATTTCTAATTCTCTAACTCCATACAGATATTTTCTTAATGTTTTTTGTTACCAAACTATTGCGTAAAGTTCTTTTTCATTTGTTGCATAATTTTATTCCGTTGAATTAAGTGTTTTCGATATAAAAGTTATGGATTTTCCATTCTTGACTTAAAACTCCTCCTAAAGCTACATTTGACGCATCTGTTGTCAGTACAAATTTTTTATTATAATCTGGTTGAGCTAATTTAATTTGTTCAGTTACTAAATCCTTTAGTTTTTCACATGCGAATATACCATCTTGATTTAATTTTATCTCAATTTTTTTAGAAATATTTTTAGAAACTTTTCCATTATGGAATCCTAAATATTTTGTTAATGGTCTAGCAATTTCGGCATAATTTTTAATGGATATCCTATAATATCCAGTTAATCCTAAAAAACTTCTTAATTGTCTAAGTGTATTGGGTAAAGGAAAATTACGAATTATGTCGATTTTTTTGGATCAGTGCTGATCGTTTGATGACTTATAAAAAATCCAATAAATTCTACTTGTCTTTCAAAAAATTTAGATTTTTTAACGATATTTTCATATTCTTTTTTAAAGTTTCAATTATTAATTGAAGATGATTTTTATGATCATTTAAGTCATTGGAGTAAATAATTATGTCGCCAATACAAACATGAGAAAATTTACCAATATATTCTCCTAAAATGTTATCCATTACACTTTGAAATATGCTTAGCACATTTTTCAATCCAAATGGCATTCTCATATATTCATACGTTCCATTATTTACCGAGAAAGTAGTTTTTTCTATATCGTCTTCTTTTATTAATATTTGATAAAAGCCTAATTCTAAATCTGTAGTTGAAAAGTATTTTGAAGTACCTAAGTCTGCTAGAATAGCAATAGCAGTAGAAGTTTTAGCATAAACTACTGCTGCATAAGCCTTCTCTGGAGCGTCCGCAAACCCATGAAGCTCAAGCATTGTGTCACTTAAACTTGATATCGATCTAGGAATTTTTATATATTTAACTGTAGAAAATATTGAAACAATCGTATTCCATACTTGTAATAATCTAACGTCTAATTTCGTACCCCACGTCAAGTCCATAAGCCATAGCTTTTGTATAAATAATTTCGCCATGGTTGTCGTTGGTGTCAGCCATCTAAGTGGATCATAGATTTGAGCCAATATAGACAGTGCCTTGCGTTTAGTTATGTTAGTACTATCTACTGGTTTGACGTAAAAGGTAAAATTATCTGATTTTGGTTTCCATTGCACATCGAGCGTCTTAACACTGCTTCTCCGTCTTCTACTTTAATTATATAATTGTCTCCATAGTTCGAAATTTCACCCAAAATTCGCTTTTCATTTGCCATCCGTTTTCGTAAATGAAATTTAAACTTTTTTAGCTGCTGATTTATTTCGGATTGAATATGTTAGTAAAAAACATGTTGTTAACACGTGGCCCAATCAGAACCAACAACCACAAATTAAATACAACCGTCTTCGTTTAATTACTTTATTCAACTAACTCACTAAACTACAAATGTACAACAATGTATGATAGAAAATGAGAATTAGAGTATTAAGTATAAATGAGAGTAAAATGAATTATATCTGCAATGGATTGCAGTGTTGCCATACACAAATTATGCAACATACACCCGTTCAATCCAAATGCAAATATATATAAATAGAAGAAGCATTACGCAAATTTCAAATTCAAATTACAAGCTCTAATATGTTTTTTTTTTGGTAAAGCCTTAGTAAGAATATCAGCTACATTCTTTTCAGAGAGTACAAATTCTGCCTCTATTGACTGATCACTAAGCTTGTCTCGTATGTAGTGGTATCGTATGTCGATGTGCTTGCTGCGTGATTGCACGCAAGCATTTTTCACCATAAATAATGCACTTTGATTGTCACAAAAAACCCTGATTGGGGTTTTTTTAAATTCTACGAATCTTATTTCTCCAAGTAGACTACGCAGGAAAACTACTTCTTTTACACCTTGGTTGACGGCAACATATTCAGCCTCCATAGTACTTAATGCCAGCCATAAAAGTAGTGAAGCCAGTGTAGGACTTTCGATCATTGGAGTCTGTGACCCAATCAGAATCTGTAAAGGATATAAATTCGTTCTGATTATGACTATAGGTAATTATAGCTTTTGGATATTGTTTCAGGTATCTTAACACGTGTTTTGCTGCTTGATGTTCTTGATGTGGATGTTTATTGAATTGCGAAAGTTTTGAAACCACATGTGCAATATCAGGACGAGAGATTATAGATAAATACATGAGACCGCCGATAAGGCTTTGATATTCTTTATTCACAAGCGCATCATATTCATTTCCGCATTTCTTCAAATCCGAACCAATAACCCATGGCGAAGACGCACCCTTACATTCACTTATGCCCCATCGTTTTAGCAATTCTTTTGTATATTTTTCTTGATGAATACTAATATCATCTCGTGTTTCATTTCTCTCGATTTCCAATCCGAGATAAAACGATGTCGAGCCACGATCATCAACTTCAACCTGTTCGTTCAATTGGTCTATGACTGCATCCATCTCAATTTGAGAAGTCGATGTCACCATCATATCATCTACATAGACTGCGATGAAACACAAATTCTCCGCTTGACCTCCTACATACACACAGCTATTGGATAAACACCTTCTAAACTCCAATGTTTCCAAAATTTGCGTCACTTTTTTTTATTCCATTTATTCCATTCCTTTGTATTTTTCTATTGTTCCATCCGGTTTCCTGTTAACTGAGAAAACCCACCTGCAACCAATTATATTTTTATCTTCAGGTTTGTCTACTAATGACCAAGTATTGTTCTTTAATAAAGATTTGTATTCTGTATTCATAACCTTTTTTCAATAGTCAGCGTCTTCTGAATATAATGCTTCGACATAACCGTTTTTGGATTTGGAAACCCTATGCAGAATGTCTGATTTTCATCTGCAATTACTTT